TTAGTTTAACACTTTTAAAGTGTTTTGTAATATCTGGTATGATGTGACTCCCCATTTCCAGTAGGCAATATTGTCTGATTTAATACATGGGTTTTGATAGGGTTATAAGACTATGTTTTTGACTTTTCCTACCAGAAATCTTTAGGGGAAGTGAAGAGAATAATTGCAATGGAATATACTATCATGGTGAAATATTAATTCTTAAACTTGTCCAAAATGAGTTGGATCTTACAGAAGTCCAAGATCCAGCTGCAGAAAATGTCCTTGAACCAGTAGCATGAATGACAGACACATCAAGTATTTTATCATATGTGTGTGAATTTCTGTGGCTGATTGATATGGAAGTATGCTGATGCTAAAGGGATCTGTTCAGAAGCTGTTAAGGAGCTGTCTCAGAGTAACTGCCTGATACTCTGCATAAATACTATAACATTGCCCACCTGTGGCAGGCAGTACAGTACCAATATAGAATTTAGTTGGTGAATCAGTCAATTAAGAGAGGCTGGAGGTCACTAATGCCACATTTTCTTTCCATATATATGTTTCAAATTGTTCTTCATAAAATTTAAGGATTTGAATATTGCGGTTGAATACTCATTTTGGAACAAGTCCCATTGAACTCAGTGGGGTGTACTTCAGAGTACACCAGTATAGATTGAACTGCACAGATATCAAAAGTCCTATTGTTTTCTTCTGTAATAATCAATATTTTTTGTGTAGTCTTTAAGTCCCTTTCAAAAGGGAAATTGGCCAGAGATTCTAATGCTCAGCAGCAAACATTTGTTTCTGTATCACATTCACACACATGCCTACTTCCTGGCTACAATCTTTCCTGCCAAACAGATGGTTGACACTATTATTGATCACCTGTTGGGTCAAAGGGAGAAAGGATGCTTGGTATCAAATCCTGCACTTCCTAAGCAAGTGAGTTTACTATGTTGACCATCTGCTCATTGACATGCATGTATGAGAATGGGAAGCTAAGAGGTAGATATTGCTGAGATGGATGCCACATAAATGTGGCAGCACAAAGCAATGGAAATGCATACAGTATCCACTTGGCACAGTAACAGCCTATTTTCCTTGAGACCTACAGAGAATATAGTTTCCCATTGGTACAGTGAAAGGTATATACTAGAGATTTTTAGCAACTGCAAGAAACAGTAAAGATGCTTACTTACAATTTAAAAATTCTGGGTTGAATCTCTGACCAGTTCAGGCCAGTCCACTTTGATTCAGTTTCAAAACCCAGGGAAATCTGTTGACTTGTCCTTCCCATTGATTATCACCAGAAATCTAAATAAAGCTGTAACATGTCTCCTCTTTATCAGAAATAGATGAAATCTGAAAGAAAATCTGAAAGAGTGGATTACTCTGTGTGTGTGTATAATTTCTAGAAATTTTAATCAAAAAATTGCTCCTCAAAAACTGGGTCAACTTATCCACAGGTCAATGTATATAAGTACATGTGTATCAGTATATACATATGTAAGTACTGTACTTTAACTCTTATATAAAAAAGAATCCATCTCCTTCTC